ATACATTCAGCTATTGCATAACATATATTACTTTTTATATCAGTATACTTTAAGTATTTTCACAAATATGTACATTTCTTACATATATGAATTTGTGTACAACAGTCATATTAAAAAATTTTTAATGTTGTTTTGGCAAAATCTTAGATTTGAGATGATTTTTTGTAATCAAAATTTTGACAAAATAAATCAGGGAAAAAGTTGATACAATATTAAATGTGTTTTAAAGTGAAGCTTAAGAAATGTTGATAAAAAGTTTTTTTCTTATTTTATGGATTTTCCTTTTCTTGGATTTCTTTTTTTTTTATGGATTTCTTATGTTGAAATATGTTGTTTTTTTTCGATTTGCAATTTATTATGAAAATATGATATTTAATGAAGCAAATTTTTGTAAGAATTTTGATAATGTTGTAACTGTTGACTTTTGTGTTCTTATTAGCACTAAATTAGTTTTTGATTGTTATATATATATATACATAATTGATTTCGTAACCAAAACTTCTGATGATTCATATTGTAAATTTTTTCAAGTACATTAATGGCTAAAACTTGGAACAGCTTTTACAGAACAGGCATATTGAGTTGTCATGGGAGACAAGAATTAAACTGTCATTAGGTATAGCTCATTGTTTTTCATAGAGATCTTACTTCAAAGGTATGAAACATCTGTTATGATTTAACCTAATCTTTCTTCTCATTCTGTGTTTATTGTCAAGTTGCTGGCATCATATTTGTTTGATTAGTATTTTTATTTTATTTACTTGTATTTTAGTGTGTTCACTGGTAAGAAATTATCAGCTATTAAAGCTATTTTTACATCTCATAATATAGTGATAATTATGGAGAACTAAATGTGTATTATAAGGATAAGAACTGAAATTTATTATTTTATTTTAGAGGTTTATCTTTTTTTCTATAATTTTACCTACTGGTTATAAGAACATGTTGGCTGTAAAATTATTAAATCATAATCAGTTATTTTTTAACTGTTATAAATTTAAACAAAGTAAACATTTTAAATTTATCCTAAATAGTTTTTTAGTTTAAATTTGAGTCATGCTTTGGGGCACTATGTTTTTCTTTTTTTCCCCTTTTTTTCGCTCCTTTTTTTTATTTTTTTTTAAAGTAATTAGACCTAAAATGCTTGAACAATATTTTTTTAGTAGATTTGAATTTTTAATACTTGTAAATCTTAATTGAACTACTATGACATTTAACTCTTTGACACACAATTTTTATTAAACATATTTTTTACTCTTTGGTATTAATTTAGGTCAAAATGAGTCGTATGATCCCAAAATCTATAGTCTTTAACCTTACGTTAGTCGCGCACTTGTTTCCGACATGGTTAATCGCGTTGCACCTATGAGGTGTTTCTGATTTTTTGAAAGCCAAATGAAATTTAGTCTAGTTTAAATAGTTAATTGTTACCAATTTAAGACTCTTTAGAGAGATAAATATCAAAAAACATATTTAGCGAAGTACCGAAGAAAAATTTTTCTTGCTCCCGCGTCGGATCTCTTCCTCCATCCCAAGATAATCAACCAATTGACGCAAGAAGGTTCTGCGGTTTTTTACTCCGTAACCATTTTCTTCGTATATAGCTTGACCATTTATACCTGCTACGTTGAGTAGGACAGAAAATGAGATAAAATATATATATTTAATTCATAAAAATATTATATCCATAATACTTACGTCAATGGTCGCGCTGCACCAGAGGGGTGATTTGAGCGCTTCCAACTCTCCATCGACGTGTTCTAAGGTCGGTTTTACACGGACATTTGAGTAATCCAAAGTTAGGAACATAACATTAGGCTCGACCCCCGGAAAAATCTTTTGACGGCAAAGAAGGTGGAAATGCAGTAGGGATGCACCTGTGAGGTGCGCGCGACTAACGGAAGGTTAATATAGCTCTTTATGTTTCTCTCATTGCAAATTATGGCTTTAATTTGACATATCGTTCAGCATGCAACTGTAATTCTTTCAAATTAAAGTGTTTTTACTTCAAACATTTGAAATCTTTTATCTTCATAAGTTACTATAATTTTCTAATTTTACTGTGCATTTTTAATATATGAGACATAAAAATTTGTTATTATTTTAATTTTAATATGCATTTTATTTGTAAAGAAAATTTGAAAGTTTTGACTTATATTATTATTGTATTTGATTTGTAAATAGTGATACTTTGTTCTACAGAATGTCCTCATCAAAATGAATGAAGATGAGATGACTGCAGTTGTTGGTGATTTTGGCTTAGCAGAGAAAATACCAGATTCAAGGTAAACACTAACTGCCCACGAGCCTGTATATATTTGAATGTTTATAGAACATTATTTTAATATATTTTCTGTATTAATTTGTTAACTGGGTGTGAAACAAAATAGCCAAACTTCATTAGGACTTCAGCAATAGATTATTCTTTTGAAAAAATTGAATTCTTGTCTCCACCTCTTATACAATTGCTAGTCCATCTTAATTTAAACAGCTTTCCAAAACTTTGAAAAGACTGTTTAAAGTTAATTTTTAATTAGCTTTGTTTATATGACTGAAAAACATAAAATATTTATTGTATGTTTTTTTTCTGTACTTTGTTTTTTTTTCTATGTAATGTCTGAATATTTGCCATGGATTTCAGAAACTCTCAAGGCTTCCTGAACTCTAAAATACAATTTTTCCCCCTTCAATTTTTTTTCTTCTTAATTGCCTATGTGTATGGAAAGAATTGTATATTTTTGTGTGCTCAAATTATTAAGTCATCACCAGCATTGGCATGACAGCCCTTTGTGAGCCTGGGCCTTCCTCAGAAGCTTTTCCAATTCTGCCCTTCTCCCAGTAATTGATTTCCAGTTCTTTATTTTAAGGTTTTAGGATGGCAAAATCCTCATCCACACATTCTTTCTATCTCTTTTTGGGCAATAATAAAAAAGTAATGGTATGATTATTTTAAACTTATTTATATATTTTTTCAACATCAATAACATTAAATGTCATATGGCTATTGCATTGTCAAAAGTGTTCTTATGAAATATTAAATTTAAATTGTTTGATTTTCTGTTATACATCAATTTACTTCGGTCCCCTGAAAAAAATGCTTTGTTGTATTATTAAAATTTAAAAAGGTGAAGGAAGGATAGTCATTTTAGAAGTCCTCTTTTATCCTGTAGTGTTCTTGGTGATCATGAATGCTATATTTATCCTAGTGGTAGTAAACTAAAGCAGAAATTTTAAAAGAAATAGAATTTTTGTTAAATGTTAATGAGCTTTTGTGTATCAGACTTTTCATACATCAATTTAAATCATTTGCATGTAGTGGTGAACAATTTTATTTTAAATTTAGTTAGTTAAAATATTAATACTTTACATTTGCTACCATTAAAAATATTTACTGTAACTATGAAAATTCTGTAATTGTTAAAGGGTTTGCACATTTGTGACACAAACTTCTATGTTGTGCAATAACTGTTGCAGCATAACCGCTAAGTGTCTATAAAGGAAAAAAGATCTGATTTTTCTCTTTTCTTAAATTAGAATTTTTTTGTAGAATTTGTTTAATTACAATCAAAATTAGCGTGTCTCAAAAATATATAACAGTTTTAAAAGCATTTTAATAATTCAATATATGCTTAATGCGTATATATATATTTTTAATAAAAGTGTAAATATCTTTTTAACAAAGTCTAAATTATACATGCTAGTATTTCAACTTCTTTTGTCCTTATTTTGAGACTTTTTCTGTTGAATTATAAATTTAAATGGTTTTTATAATTAAGCCTAATCGTTTTTTTTAAATATTATGATGTTATTTGTTCATTTAGATATTAGGACGTTATTAAGGTATTAAGACATTATTTGTTTATTTTAGGGATCGTAGTCAACATTTACTAATTGTTGGTTCACCTTATTGGATGTGGTCTATTCTATTTAAAGGGCTAACTGTGTTACTCTGATGATCAATATAAAAACCTGTTTACTGTATATCATATTATATTACAGCATTGTTATAAGTAGAAGATATTCAAACATATTTCATGTGTGTCTATTTTGTTTATATATTATGTCAGAATTTTTTCAGATCAACGTAAGTAACAATTTTAAAAAATAGTGTATTTGTTCTTGAGCTATGATTAATTATGACTTTTTATGATGCTTAGTTTTTAAATTGTTGTAATCCTTATCAGTTACTGAATCATATGTTCAAGTGTCAAAGAAAAGATAAAATATTCAAATGGAGAGCTAATAATGTTTAATTTTATACAGTTTTTTTTTTCCATTTCATAAACTATGGCATGAGCATAATCGATTAAAGGATTTGAGACAGTATAGTGCAAAGTCTCACTTTTTCTAAAGATATTTTTCTATGTAACTGTTCTTTAGTATTGTTTCCAGAATTTCTGAAATTTCTTTTAAATAATAGCACAATTCACTTAAATATCGTGTTGTCTGTCTATTCAGAAATCACTCTAGTTGCATTCTTCCAAAAACTCTAATTTGGCTTACTATATTCTCCCAAGCTCTTCAGCTTTACAATGTGAAAAAATAAAATTTATAGATGAGCCTATTTCCAAAGTTCTATTTTAAGTGCTTCCCTATGCCTTCACTTACCTGTTTAAAAAGAAAAAAAGGAAGAAGAAAAAAAAGGTTAAGACAGCAAAGTTTTTTGTTGGCACAGGTTTGAGTTCTACTGGGAGCTCCATCTTGGTAACAAATTGAACAACTTGATTGTTTATTCTGCAAGGTGTATGTTAAACCTGTCATGAATAAAAGGTAA